TCACTAAAATCCAGATGTTGCAACTGCATATAGTTTACATACAATTTACATATTTAATTGGCTGTTTATTGGTGTTGTATGTAATATACAAGGTGAAAAACTTAACTGAAATAAATAAACTGAAATTCTGTATTTTGGAAATTTAGAAAATAGAATACCGAAACTTAATATACACTGACACTGACAACATAAAATAAACATAACTAAACATAAACTCCAAACTGAAAAATAAAATTCGTATAGTTAATTCTAATAATATTGAGATATAATCCACTTATAATAGTACAAATGTCGATAGATTAAATATGTATTCAACACAAAAATGTTGTAAGGATAGAATTAAGTTAATATAAACTGAAAACACAAAATAAACATAAGTTACAAACTTAAGTAAATAGTAAGCTGATCAAAAATGTAGCATAGTAGGAACATAGAAACACTTTTTATCCTCATTTGGTCACCAGGTCATAATTATTGATTTATCCCAGTCCCTGAACAATTTTGCAAATACCTACCTACCTATTCGGAAAAATAATATTCAATAATTACTCACCAAAATGTGGTACTAACCTTTATATTCTAACTCAAAGTTATGTGGATAAAGTAACTAAAGAAACGAATACCAAGCATTCTCCTTAAATTTCAGCTTAATAGCTTTATTAGAGTTTATTGCAGAATACATTAGCTTCGGTAATAATGATGTGGATTAAATCTGTTCTAAAACGTGACATGAAAACTGATCTTCAAGTCATTACTTCGTCTGCTGCCATTCATTAATATTGTGTAAAATGTTTTAAGGATTAGTTAAAAAAAACGTTTTATTTTGATAAGGTTGCTTTGAAAAATGCACTTTTGTTGGGTTTGGCTCTCTTGAAAGACCTGTATATACCGTCGAATGCTGCAATGAAAGAAAATGGCCAATATTGCCTACTAGTAGAACATGCTATGGAATGGCTTAGCACCTAGTAAGAAAATCACGTACGACGATGTGCCTTATTTTAATTATGATTCGGAAACGTGGAAGAAATACAAACTCCATGGCCAACTCAGTAAATTATGTCAACCAACGCACAGTGGGACAAAACCATTAAAACTGGATTTTTGATTTTAGAGCAAATATCTCTTGCTCCAATAGTAATAGCTTTATTCAAAAGCTTCTGATCTGATACTACCAGCGTTGTTAGTATTTAGCCTTAAATTTCACATAGGCCTTTTGATTAGAAAAAAAATATTTAAATAAAATAAGACATTTATTGTTCTATATCAACAAAAAGAAGAAACATTCAAGATTATTGTAATTTGTATTTTCTGACCAACTAATTACAAAAACTACCCCACTGTGCTGTCTACACCTCGCCTTTTGTGCCAACTTGATTTTTCAGTTTTACGGAATACCTGTGGAGATGATAAAACATGAAATTTCAAGTTCATAATGTTATGAAGATTCGAATTGATTTTTACTTTTTATTGTGTACCTACGCAGTTTGAAGGGTAAATATTTCAAGAAGTGGCCGCCTAGTTGACGGGATTTGACGCCGTTGGACTGTCTTTGTTAGGTTATGTTAAAAGTGGAGCCTTCGTTAAACAATTCAAGATTTAAAAGACGGAAAAGAACATGCACTTAATTAAGTCAATGCGGGAATTTAAATATACCCGCAAATTCTTTTCCTAACGGAGGGATTCATTTGAATTAATTTTTCCTCGAGGGACAGTGTAAAACTCCATTTTGAAGTGGCTTTTGAATATAAAAAAGGCCGAATTACGTTGAGTGAATAAGTCTACAAAAGAAACTCAACTTTTTAGGGCTTTTTAAATGAAATTGAACTGGCAACGTGGTTTGGGATGTTGCCAAATTGCCCATGCTGCATTACTTCTAAGTAAGATTTTATTTATATGCATATTGTATAATGTAAAATAATGTAGTGTATATAATAATACAGGTGGGCTAAGAATGTTTTTAGGGACTTTTAAAACATTCAATAGATACCCTTTTAATGATGCAATTAGATTCTTAAAAGCTTCTTAAAACCTTCCTAAAAAGCATCCTAAGAACTTTTTAAGAATACGTTTTTGGAATGTTCTTAGAAGGTTTCTTATGGAGCTTCTAGGAAGCTTTTGAGAATATTTCCAAATATGTCAGATACCCACGTTCTAATATGTTGTATTCTACATTCGTAAAATTCTTCAGGAGACGACAAATACGCCTCACTGTCATAATATGACAGTGAAATGTATTTGTCGTCCCCTTAAAAAATTTTGCGACCTATTAATGTATATTTATTTAAAAATATTAAATAAACAATTTGACCTCTAAACCATAAGTTGTATGACATTATTTCATAAAAAGTAAAATTGGAAAATTTTGTGGGATAAGTCAGATTAGATTGAAGTTGAAGATAGTTAGGATTATTATACATAAAAATGTTAATTCAGAAATAAAAAATCGGTATGTATACAAATTAATAAATATTTATTTTTAACATAAAATAAAATTCCTATAGTAAAAGTATTTTTGTTATCGAATATTGTTTTAATTTTACAAATAACTTAAAAAAAATATTTTGGATTGTGTTTTTTACTTATATTTAATAATAATTACTAATTAGGTACTTAAGTATAGGAATATACCTTTATCCGTAGTTTATGGTATATTTTACTATTATATAGGTAACTGAACTAAATATGCTTAACAGGAATATTCCTAAATCAACTTTCTATAGCAATTACTTTCTTAACATTCTAAGCATATGTTTAGAGTAGACTAATTTTTACCACTAAAACTTTGCACCTTCTAAGAACCTGCCTATATGCCAGTAAGAATATTCTTAGGATCATGCTATATGTCTTTTAAGCATGTTCTTTAGAAGAAATATAGCATGATCCTAAGAATATTCTCACTGGAAGGTTTAATAAACATTCTTAGAATAAAGTGTGCTATCAGGGAATTAGGATGTGTTTCTCTTGCTATCATACCCGGTCGATTTATGTTTTTTTTAAATCTAAATTAAAGTTAAAATTATTTGTTTTAGGTACATTAATATTAAATAAAATAATTCACTATAGCTATAAAAGGTAAGAACTCATCTTTTTTTAAAGGGTTTTAATGAGCAAAAAACGTTCGTAATCGTATTTTTTTAAATATTTTTCTATTTATTTTTTACACCAAAACCAAATTAAAATGTATAAAAAGTAGAATGCACGTAACACATTTAAGTTTTAATTAAAAAACATCAGGTTTATGCAACACAAAATTAAAATAAACGTAAAATTTACCTGGCTCTGCAGTCTGGAAACAATTATTAACCTGTAAAAGTTCTGAATTGTTCAATTTAAAAATTTTAATGAGTAGTTTACATGTACATCAGTGACGGCTTATGGATGGGGCTAAATTATTTTTATTTTGTCTAAATACGAATAAATTTCCAAACGGCTAAACTCAAAAACAAAAATTCTTTTCTTAAAACTTTATAATATAGATCTGGAACCTAAAAATATATTTGGGTCGTTTTCAAAAAACACCCGCCTTCCGCTGTCCGTAAGTTTGAATTCCAATAACTTTGTTAAAAATTATCGGATCTTATTGATTTAAAAACCAAGTGAAAGCCTAGCAAGCCCTTAGTAAACTCTTTCAGAAAATGTTTGTTTACTTATTTCAGAATAATTTTTTTTTAATTTTGAAACTTGTGAAACACACATTTTCGCATGTACCATTAGCGTTTTATAAAACTTACATTATCATTACCCAGCTGAATTTATTTATTCAATCAGGAAGAAGATATCGGTTGAAACAGGTGCGGGTAACGCGAAAGTAATAATTGTTTGTCCGCTAAGTTACTCAAAAAAATAATAAAAATAATGTAAGAAAAAATACTATTTTTCATGTTTATGTTTATTTTAGGGCACTAAAGCTCATTGAGAGTAATTAATGACTGTAATGTTTTATTAATATTTTATTATGGTTTTACAAAACTTTGTCCACTGCGTTATCGAGTCCATTACGTTACCTTATGGTAACGCAATGGAGTTTAGGGTAACGCAATAGAATTTTTCAAAAACAAAGTGGATATTTACCGTCGCTTTTATTAAAAGTAGATTATGATAAACCAATTTAAAATTATTTGGGATTACAACTCATGATATAGATTACATCCAAGGTAAAGTTCCACGCAATATACAAGTACTAAAAGACACCAGCTTATAGTCAAAGAAAAAGGGTGTCTATAATTTAGAAATCTAAGTTGTTATTATGCAAGTGAGCACCACTACAAGGGATTTTGTTTATGCATTACTCTAAAATCGTGCCACCCTATATAGTTTCTTTTTTACGTTATCTGATTAAGTCCTTTGTGTACCCCAGTCCGTTGTGATACCAATGTCTATTTCGTTACTTTTTTAGTTTTTGTTAAAAAAAATCTTTAAAATGATTTTACTATCACTTGGTAATACCTGTTTATAACTCACTAATGCAGTGACTAAAAGAACAGATTAATGGTATTGTTTTTTTTAACAAAAAATCGGAATGGTGTCTTTTAAAAAGTAACTTAAAAAAAAAAAGAATACAATTTTTAATAAAAAATAAAATAAAAAATAAAATAAAAAATAAAATAAAAAATAAAATAAAAAATAAAATAAAAAATAAAATAAAAAATAAAATAAAAAATAAAATAAAAAATAAAATAAAAAAATGGAGTCAAAAGTTTGTGAACTAAGTACATTTTATTTCAAATTATTTTTATAACAACTTTTTTATTGAATTAAATTTTGGATTTCAAATTGGTAACAGTGGAGACATATAAAGCTAAACACATTTTTCTGAAAAAAACGTAAACAAAATTAAAAAGTGCACTGCCTGTCTTAAATGTAAGTAAACAAAACTGCAAACATTTATAAAAATCCAACCAAAAGTCAATTTAAGCAAAAAAAATTTTGATCTTCATTTTCCTGAAAGCTGGTGTTTCTTGAAAATGGCCCATTTATATGGATAGATGCAAATATATCCACCACATCTTAAATTTACTCAAATCTCAGCTTTTTATTGGTAAATACAAAAAATATATTTTTTAATGGTACAAAAATTTATTAAAAAATGATGACATCCATTTTATTTTCGAAAAACCTCATCATTTGTTTTCGACATTCATCATTCAACCTATTATTTGCAATAACCAAAGTTCTAACATTATTAAAAGTGGTTAAAGACTGACTAGAGAAACATATAAAATTATTGTGGCTTACATCCATATATCCTATGGAGTACACACTTTCAAAAGTTTTACTTGACAACTCAAATAGTTTGTTGTACGTTAGAGATATGATTCCCATCTTGTTTAGGTTTGTAAAGGCTTCAGGGTGTATGTATTTAATTCGGTTGTTATCAAGGTATATTTTCAATAGAAGAATGTATAGATATTTGTCTGTATGGCCTTTTAAATTTTGGGTGGCATTTCTAGGCAACTCTGCAATTATATTATTCTTCAATGATACAAGGTGAAGATTGGTGTTTTTAAACCAGTTGGAATCCCATTTGGATATTCTATTATAATCCAAGATGATTCCCTCCAAGAAAGGCATATTTTCAAAGGCTTTCCCCTCTAAAATCTCCACAATGTTATGACTTAAATCCAGTAGTACCAACTTGGAATCACTAAACACATTGTTTCTAACCTTAAAAATACTATTGAAGCTCAAGTTTAACATTCTTAAGGTGGTGTTTTGAAGAAAGTTTACTTCTATGTAGGACAATCCAATGTTTTGTAGATCGGCTTTTAGTATAGCTTCAGGAATTTCATTTCTACACAGATGCTTTATATTTTCACCAGTCACTTTCATAGAATACACAGTGCTAATTTCTTCCTCTAAAAATATTCTGTACTCATCGTATCCCTTACGTTTACCATACGATGTTATGGCATTTTTGAAATAGTTTTTGTTACAATCGTCCAAGCATTGTATAGTTGTAGTAAATATTAGAAAAAAGCTGATTTTTGTTACATTAAACATATTGAACGTTTTAACCTACTTTGACTTAACATTGACTTATTTATAGATTCATTTAATCGTTTCAACCTATAACCCCAATTAACAAAGTTCAAGATTAATAGTATTAATATTTTTGTTTTGTTTTTTGGTTTTGTAAAAAAAACTAACCAGTGTAGTTTTAAGGCGGTTTATATTTACTGTGCCTGAAAATTTACTTTTTCCTGTAGTTTTACTTTGTTATGAAGGATAATTGTATCCTTGTATAGAAAGAATATTAGTCAATTTTTGAAGCATGTATTAAAAACATTTTAAAAGTTTTCGCCAAATTACTCTCGTTTTGTTCACTTCCTTCCGGTGATAAAATTTTCTCCGGGTGCTTAAATTTTCGATTACCTCAAAATTAACGACAATTATGGGCGGAGACAAGATTTTAGGCAAAGAATTTCGGGACCGTTTGAAAAAATTGGCAAGAATTGGAATTATAAAAAATTTCTACTAAAAAATATTGCTCAAGGTTATTTAAATTATAATTACATTACAATATATATATATAACAGAAATAATGTCATTTTATTATGTCATCATTTTGAATTGTCACCATTGTTTCATATTGTCATTGAAGTCTGTCATTATAAAATAATCTTATCATTCTAGCTTGTCCTTATAGAAGCTTGTCATTATAAAATAATATCGTCACTTTATCATGTCATCATTTTGGATTGTCACCATTGTATTATATCGTCATTTAAGCCTGTCATTATGAAAAAATCTCATCATTCTTTATAGTATTTATAGAAACTTGTCATTATAAATAATGTCGTCATTTTATCATGTCATCATTTAGGCTTGTCACCATTTTATTAAATCGTCATCAAAGTTCGACAATATTAAATAATATCGTTATTTCAATGATCATCATTTTAACTTGTCATTAATTAATAATATAGTCTTTTTATTTTTATTTTAACATGTCGTAAATTAAGCATGTCATTATAAAATACCATAATTCTAGCTTGTCTTTTTAGAAGCTTATCATTAATAAATAATGTCTTTATTTTATGATGACATCATTTTAGCTGGTCACCATTTCATCAAATCAAAATTTAAATTTGTCATCATTTTATCATGTCATGAATTATTCTTGTAAAAATTTCATCATACCCTTATTTAAGCTTGTCAATATTAAATAATATCGTCACTTTGTCATGTCATCATTTTGGATTGTCATCATTGTATTAAATCGTCATTTAAGCCTGTCATTATGAAATAATCTCATCATTCTTTATAGTTTTATAGATACATGTCATTGTTAAATAATATCGTCATTTTATCATGTCATCATTTAAGCTTGTCATTATTTTATATTATATCGATTTCATCATAAGCTTGTCAACATTTTATTAAATCCTTGTTGTATATAATGTCATTATTTTAGCTTGTCGTTATACTTATAAGCTTGTTATTATTAAATAATGTCATTACATTGTCATGTCATCATTTTGGCTTGTTTTTATAAAGGCTTGTCATAATTATGTAATGTCGTCATTTAAGATTGTCACCATTTTACTAAACCGTCATTGTATTATATTTATATTAAAACCTGTCTTGAATTAAGACGTCAACATTTTATCAAATCCTTATTTATCATTATAAAGTCGTCAGTTTTTTATGTCATCATTTCTACTTGTTTCCATTTTATCATATTGTCATGGTAATTATCAAATAATGTCATGTCATCATTTTATCATATCGTCATTAAGGCCTCATTATTAAATAATGTCGTCATTAAATATCATTACGTTTTGATTTAATAAGTAAATCATCCCAAAAAACTTATTTTAAATGCGTAAAAATCCGAACCTTGGTCCTTAGGTAATCAAGAGCTCCTGGCAAATGATTTTTGACAGCCCGCTAATTTCCCAGACTATGTATTTCTTGAAGGAACAGAGTTACGGTTAACGGGCGTAAAAAATTAACGGAATATAATTTTTAATGACTTAGGGGAGGTTTATTAAATCAAGAAATCACGAAGATAATTTTTTTTACGGATGCATTAAATTTAGTTTATTTATAGAGATGTAAATGAAGGATTTTTAACTTATATAATAGGTTTAAACATTTTCAAGCTAAAAGTAGATATTCATTATTTATAAAACCTTTAAACTAAAGTTACCTACGGCTAAAGTTTAAAGTTGGAAAGTGTATATATATACATAGAAAGAGTGGTGTATTTGACAAAACAAAAAATGTACACTCCAAAATCTTTAAGTGTAATTCTAAAAAAGACATAATAAACCTTAGTTTAAATAAGATTCAAATATAGTTTTTTTTACCAAAAAATTGGTTGGGAGTTTAGCTGAGTCTATCTCAGTTTCCCAGCGCGTTCTATCGATTTTGTCTACAGATAAATCCTGAAATTGGGTTAAACGTCCATCTGTACTACACTGTTTTATATCGACCCCAAAAAGAAAAAAGAAAAATTAACACTCTTTCTAAGAAAGAAAATTTGTCTTGCCTCATTTTGTTTATATAGTTTTCGGAGAAAATTAAACAATATTTTGTTATGAGAACATAGATAATATAATAAATATACTGTTCCAGACCGGGCCAGTCACTTTTTCAAACAGTTTCGGAAATGTCTGTGTTTTCTAAATTTGAATGCAAGGGAAGTGACGAGTATACCAGGGTACTAATTAAATACATAATTTATTGGAAAATATAAGATTTATTGCAACTTTGAGAATATTATACATTAAATATCTTAAAATCAAATAATACCACACATCAGTGGCGGCTGGTGGATTTTGGGTATACCGATATCTCAATTATTAGATATGGGACCCACACCAAATTCATATGAGTTTATAATGACATTAAATAAACAAGTTCTGCGCAAGCAGAATTCAAATTGAAGTTTGCGAAAAAAAGATAACCGAAACATCGAACATGGAACTGACGACACGGTACTGATGAATGGGATACAAATTTGAGATTATAATTCGGAATTAAGTATTTTACCGATATTTTTTATTAGTGAATGCTACTTACCAACAAATCTGTGGCTGTGAGCTCGTCTTGATGTTTAACTGCTGAACGTCTTCGATTTTTATCATAAAAGAAACTTTTCATGGGATTGAAATTAATAGTTGCTTCTTTAAGAGCAACCACAAGACCTACCATACACTCAAACATAACATAATAGTTGACTAGAGACAAGAGACTTGGAGACGTCCAAGTGATTTGCAAAGTTTCGAGGGTATTGAGAATCGCGATAGGCTGAAACGAGGAAAGAACAAGAATTGGAAAGCTGGGGAAATGTATGTTGAAAAGTTGGAAACCTTCAACAGTCCCTGGATGTCATTTTAAATCGAAAGTTTATGGTGGAAAGTGCAATGGAATGATAGTAGTGTTCCACATCAATCTAACTTTACACTTAGTACAAACAAATTTCAAGTACAGTTGTTACAATAGCTCAGTTTAATGTATACAGGGTGTTATGTAATTAATGTTATATATTAAAATGGGTTGTTCCTTAGGGTCCATAAAGAAGCACCTGAAACTTTTTTTTTCTAAATTCCAAAGTCTAAAAATAATTTATAACAACCTTTATCCTACCAAAAAGTACGCCACTGATCGACTAGGAACTTTAGGTTAATCTGGTGGATTTATTATGTTATGGTTGGTAACACAGTGTTTCCAAAATCTCTCAAAAAAGTTGACAAACATTGTTTAAATTTAGCTTAATTACAAAAATGACAAAATTAACAATGCAAATTGTCAATTTGGCGTTTTTATTAATTGTTGGTTATGTCATTTTTGTACTGAAGGTAAATTCAAACAAAATCTGACAACTTTTATGACAGAATCTAGTGCATTTCTTTTAAATTTTAGGTTATGTTTTCAAATTGTAAATATCTTAACTAAGGGAAGTGCTTTTGGATTTATTTACACAAATTAAATGTTTAAAGTTTAACCTGTGAACTGGTCCCAATTTCATCTGAGTAAACAGAGAAAAAACTGAAGAAAAAATTAATTTTGTGGTTATGGATTTCAAATTTCAAAGGTACTAAATTTTCTAATCATTGCTTAAGCTAATAGCTGGATCAGTAAATAAATACAGAAGGCTATTAGAGCTTTAAGGGCATAAAACTTTTGTATTTATTGAGTTTTTATTTATTTTTTGCAAGAAAAATTTTTAGTAACAATTTTTTACATCTGGCAACGCATAACTACTTTGTTGGTTGGTATCTGTGTACTCACAAAATATAGGTGTGCAGATATAAACAAGTGTGTAACCAGTGGCGTATCACAAAAAATATAAAAAACTTCTAAAGCATATTTTTTCTTTATCTTTGGAAAAATGTTTTTTTAAATATTTTTCCTTTATTCCTTATGTCAAAAGGTATTCAGTATTTTAATATATAACATTAATTACATAACACCCTGTATAGGAGAATTGGGTACCTGTATAAAACTACGAGACTTTAAGTTTGCTTTACAAAAACCATAAGAAAAATAGTAAAGTGAAAATTTAATATAATCAATCAGCCGTTGAGATCCTTTTTATTACGGTCAAATAAAGTTTATATCCGAACAGAAAACGTTTCATTCAACTTCGATAAATCAAGCGTATATGTCCAAAGGTTAACATAAAAATTATGAAAAATGATATGTTAACCTCGAAAGATCAAAGCAGCATTTGGCCGGTTCCCATGGACTTTGCTTTCATAAATAAACCTATAAACTATAATACAAAAGAAAGTATCTCTCTCGTTTTGAAACACATATCCTTTTTTTCTTCTTTCTCCAAGATATTATTTTTCCAGACATTTTTTAGGGGTTTGTATTGATTAAATAATGCTAAACTATAAATAGTTTCTTTATACCTCATTAATAATTATTATTATAACTAAGTACTACTGTACGGTGAAAAACGTAAAAGTTTTAGATCAATGCAATGTTTTACTGGCTGTCAACTTGTAAGCAATGAATTATCTTGAGAATTCATCAGTAATCCATTTTTATGTTATAAAAAATGGG